TTTTTTCAGGCAACAATATGACCTCAAAGTTATGATATGCTGTAAGACACATTTTTCACCTTTTTCTTACTAATTATATTATCATTAAATGAACGACACGATGATTCCTCTTGTGTAGGAGGTAGATACTTACCTTTAGAAGCAATGTTGCCATTTCTGGATCAAACTCTTGTGTCAAGAATTATGAGTGTTTCCCCATATTTAGCACGTGACGTGTATAACTGTGATGTTTCCTGCACACCCTTGATCCTCATTCATATGAACGAAGAGTAAGTGGAAGACCATCCATTAAATTGATGAGTTTATATCCTAATCTGGAGTGTTGTAAGAGGGCATAGCACCTTGCAGCTATAGGCTCAGAAGCTAGTAATCCTAGGATGTTGGGTTATATAGATAAGTTAAGTTTTACCCTCTACGGAAATGGTTTTGGTTTTAAGGTTAGGGTTTTCCTTATCATTCTGGATAACCACAGGATTTGTGCAAATTTTAGGAAACTTAATCTTCCTTGCCCACTATGATTTTATCTATTTTTTTCAGAGCTATTAGGATAGGCACTCAACTTTATGTGTTGGAACCAAAATAAAGTTACAGCACAACATCATAGCACCAGAACATCGACATAGTGGGAAATTGTTCTTCTAACAGAGCAAGCACGTGAAAGATATAACCTTAGGCTTGTTTCTTGCCATCATACCCTTTTTTTTCTTTTCTTGATCTTCTTCCTCTGAACTGCATTTCGATTTTCCAGTTTCAGTGTTGGAAACTTCTCATTGCCATTAATTTCTTACATCATGGCTGCCTGGGTGGGTTTCATTAGCTATTTCAGTAATATGTGTAATTGTCCACTTTTGTTTCTAAAATATTGGAAGAGTTTGTTGTAGTTGTTTATTTATCATTTTTTAGAACAAAATGGTCTGCACCATTTCTCAACTGAAACAAGCATTACTGGTGCAGAGGTCAGCATATCTTGGAAACAACAATCCCTTCTGGTAATTAGAGAGCGGCACACGGCCAACATGTAAAGCTAGCGCCGCCAATGAAATTATAATGACAGGACATCATCTTTTTGTTTTCTCAGATATTAATGTAACAAGCACAAGAGCTTGTTTGGCTACTTATCTGTCTAGACGACACCTTGAGTGACCACATAATAGCTTCTAAATGCATCTTTCTTTATGGATCAGTTCAAATATTCGCTGCAGTCATAAACATGGATGATTGTAACAATTTTTATCTCTGGGCTATTTTGTTTACTGAACTAATTTTAAAATTTCAGTCTGGTATCTTCCAAATTCGCATGGTGGAATACTAATCAATATAGCTATAAGACAATTCTATTTATGTTCTTCCAGATTGCTGAATGCAATACATCAGGGAATCTTTTGTCTTTCTGCATTGCCATGCTGCTACCATGAATTCTGATACCCATTTTTTCATATGCACAGGAGACAATGTCCGCCCAGTCCCATTGTGGGAAAGAGAATTCTGCCGTAACGCTTACGACATTCCCTGGGAGACCTTCTGCGAAAACAAGCGATTTATTGGATTATACAGAAACGTCATGGACTGGGATGATTCAGAAGCGTTCAAGAATTTCGAGGAGGCAAAGGAAAGGTTCAGGGCAAAATATTTTGGCGAAGGTGGACCAAACAACAGTAACAATTACTTCCATGGAGGTGGATCATCTAGCAATTGGCACCAGCAGGGGGTGGATCCAGGCCACACGTCATCCGGGACTGGAAGGATGCTGATCGGCGGTGGCACGATGTGGATGAGTAGCACTTTCACTGGCGGTGCCATGAAGTGGAATGGTGGTGGTGGCAGAGGCAATGGCATTGGCAGGAACTGGAATGTTGGCAGTGGTGGTGGTGGCGGCGGCGGCAATGGCAATGGCAATGGCAGTGGCAGGAACCGGAATGGTGGCGGTGGAGGTGGTGGCAGTAGCAGCAATTGGAATTGTTTCGGCCGCGGCAATCAGAGGAAGCAGCACGAGGGGCAACACGAGCTGAGGAACGGCGGTGGCATCCAGAGGAACCAGGAGGAGGGGCGGCACCAGATGAGGAGTGGCGGCCGGCAGCAGCAGGGCCAGGGGAGGATAAAGATGGAGTGGCGTCTGGTGCAGCACAACAGGGCTCCCAAAGATGACCCTGCCGCTTGATCTCGCAGGTGGTTTGTTTGTGCAGCCTGTGTTGGGCTGGGCTGCTGCTGGCAGAAGTGGTGCCCGTAAATACAGAGGAGCTGCTGCTGGCAAAGCGGTGCCTGTAAATAGATGATTGAATGTTTGAGTTGTATGCTGCAGCTGCGGCCTTAGTTTACTTCTGGTGTAATGTCATTATGTTATAATGTTAATTAATGTGGGAGCATGACAGTTCGGTGCAAAAATAGTCCATTACTAACTCTGTTCATCTTTTCAGTGTAGTGTAGAATGCGCCGGCGTACGGTCCGGCTGTTGGGACCACGCCGATCCGCACACAAATCTTAAAGCCGCGACATCAGGAGAGGAAAACCAATTTAGCGAGGCTCCAGCTCCTTAGAAAACAACTTCGGCTTTTGACCATTGGTAGTGCTGAACTCGTTTAAAAAACATGTGGCAAAATTGCTTCTTCAATTCTCTTCTGGAATGGGTGAAAGAAGTGGCAAAACTTCTTCTGTTTTCTTTTGTGGAAGTCAAAGTTTAAAGTGGGTGTGCATACGATTTATATCAGTTGTAATATATAGTTGTTTGAATTGAACAAAGATTATTATGAGATAAAAATGAAAATTAATCCATAATTAATGGTTTCCCTGTAATTAAAAATGAGAGGAAAAATGATTAACCGGTGATTAAGATTAAATAAGAGTAAAAGAAAACATTGACAGATGATTAAGATTACATACGAGAGAATTAAATACATGGGGAAAAACGATAGTGAAAGAGGCCTGAGGGTGCTAAGGGTGGTGATAATTTCCGTGTAAATAATAACGGTAATGCTTGGCCACGGACATCTGTCCCATCCGGACGCTACGCCTCACTTCGCTCGCTGCTTTGGCATTCTCCCACCACGTGCCCCACCCTGTGCCGCTCGCTCCTTGCTCCCCGCCCGTCGCGCGCCCCAGCTGCGCCGCTCGCTCCTCGCTCCTCTCCCAGCTGTCGCGCGCCCCACCCGCACCTCACTCCTCGCTTTAGCCATGCGCCCCGCCACTCACCCGGCTGAGCCAAGGCCGGTGCTTTTGCTGCTGGTGGTGGTGGTGTGCCGCCGCTTGCTGCCGGATCCCACCCCGACGACCGGAATTGACCAGCCCCAGCCTTACCCTCCCCTATGTTGCAAATGTATGATTCAAGTGGCTCCACGCCGTCGACAAGGTCCGTCCGTTTCCCGTGTCTCCTGGACTCTCTCTCCGGACTTTCTCCAGAATCTCATCATGCAAGGCACCGACCCTTGGCCGATCGCTGCACGTTTCCGCTCTCGGTTTCAATTTCGGGCTCGGGTGTCGTCTTCCTCGTGCCTCACGCGCTCGCCACGCAGGCAGCACTCCGCTTGCCTTTCTGCACTCGGCTGCGTCGATATACTCCCCCTCCAGGATAGACACTCAGAGACCTGGAGCCCCCAGTCTCGCACCGTGAGGTTGTGTTCTGTGAGGGGCAGAATCCGGTTGCATTGTGTTTATTTGAATAGAATCCGGTTGTTTTGTGTTTATTTGGATGTTGCACATGTTGCAAGTGTTTTATCTGCATGTTACATTTGTTTCACACACATGTTGTAAGTGTTTATATAGATGCTGCATATGTTTCACACATAAGTTACAACAATATGTTTAATCTGTGTCAGACGTATGTTGCATCTGAGTGTTCCATGTTACAAGTGTTTCATGTTGCAAGGGTTTCACGGGGCACGGTGAGTGATAGGCACATGGTTCGGGCACCGGGGGATGGGGAGCGGGGAGCTAGGGCCGGCAGACAGGGGCGCAACGAGCTGGGGGCGGGCTCTCGGGTCCCTCCCACGTGGAGAGAGAGGAGGGGTTCAGGGGGAAGGAGCGGGGCGCAGCGACGGGGCAAGATGCGCGTGCGAGGCGGACAGGGGCGGGCTGCGTAGCTGTCCGAACATGAGGAGTGGCGGGTGCAGCATCAAGGGCAACGTGCACGTGCGAGTCGGAGCGAGGCGGACTGAGGCGCGCTACGCGGGTGTCCGGACACGCGCGTCCGTCTGGACGTTCGGACTCTAGCCACGCCAAAATAATAATGCAAACTAAACTTAAGGGGCACTCTATTTTTCTAATACTTTTACCTAATCGTCATCTATACCTATATCTATCTATTTCAATAATCTATCTATATCTATATCTCTTATAATCCGAAAACCCACTAGAATTGAATCTCGACAAACAAGGCATCCACATCAGCAACCCACTAGCACATGAAATTATGACACATACAACAATTCACGTCAGCAAGCCACATTATTCTCTAACATGTATTTATTTGTCCACATCAATAAGCCACATCATCCACTAAAATTCATTTGCAATGCTCGTAGCAACGCACGGAGTATGCTTCTAGTTATAAAAGATCAAAACCTGTGCATACCACTAAAAAGTGTAACATCCCAAAAATCCAAATAAATAAATCATGCGAATTAAAACTATTTTCAAAATCATGTCAATATTAATTCTCAATTGAGCTCTAATTTATCCTTTGTCCAAATATTCTCCAACTCCAACTCTCACTATTCTTCTCATTCCTAATCCTCCGAGCACGCACTCAGCACACTCGCAGGGCAAGTCCGCGTAGCATGCTTGCAGCAAACTTCACTGGCAAGCTTCGCCGCAGAGCCATTACTTCGCCATAGCAAGTTAGGCAGCAACCTGCTCTGCTTAGCACGCGCTGCACGCGCACGGCAACGACCGACCGCAGCAGCTCATAGAAATTCGTGTGCCATCCAGTAATGGCTACTATAGCGCTGCAGTTTTCCACTAGCCAACCATGACGCTCCTCCCTGCCAAGTCTTCTCCACGAGCAATCGATGACGGCCACCCCGTCCACCACTCCGCAGAGTACGCGCGCCATTAATAGTCCCTTCCCAATTTTTCACCCTGCGCCGATGACCGACCGCACAAGCAAGCCCCAACAGCACGTTCATGCACCAGCGGCACCTTATTACCATTAACCAAGTTAATTAGCCACCGACCTCACTGTCCGCACCTTTACTTCGCCTGCTAGCCTCGTTCCATCGCTCTGCAAAATTGTCAACGCACGTCGCACTGCCGCTGCCATAGTGTGCCACACACGCCGGGCGTCCCTCCCCAGTGCCAGCTCCACCTCCAGTCCCACGTCTCCTGCCTATAAAGGACACGCTGCGCAACCCCCCATCACGCTGAGCTCTAGAGCCATCCTGCTCCGCCGCTCACCATCTTACTCCCCAAATCGAGTTCCTCTGTTCTTGCCTGGGAAAGTTGCTCCGTCGATCTCCCTCCCCGAGTTGCAAGCGACCGAGGTAGCTAGCCTGCAACATTCTCCATTATTTCCTTGACCCACGGTCTCCTCCATTAATTCCTTGACCTGCATGAATGAACCAGCACCTCCCCCCCTCATCACATCAAGGACCAAAGACTCACGGTCATGTGCAGGTCAACAAGTCCAATGGCGTGATTAGACTCCTCCAATAATGCCATTTTAATTTTCGGATTTAATTAACAGCCCACCTTGTAAAAGCCATATCTCCCTCATACGACCTCTGATTCACTCGATTCTTCTTCCTAAAATCATCTAAAATCAAGACCTATCCATCCATATCATTTTCTTATTTTCTAGAGCTCATTTGAATTTATTTATTTATTGTGTTTGTTGTCGTGTTCTAGCTGACGAAGTGAACGAGCCGGAGAACGAGGACGTTGGAGGCGAGTACCGCGAGTTCGACCCCGAGGACCCGAACTACGACCAGGAGTTTGCCGAGGACGCCGGCGGAGGCAAGTCCAATCTAATCCCCTTTGATGCATGTTGATCCTATTTCTAAACACAACCCGTAGAAGCCATTTAAATCTTGCATGTATACGTACGAAGTATTTTTGCTGCTTAGCTAAACCCGTTTAAATGGCCACCATTGAATTGTTTGACTTAATCACCTTGCTTAAACCTAAGGATTAATATTATGCTACGACGAGATGTCATTAACTAGTATGCTTAGGACTTGGTACTTATATCATGGCTACCCACACATTATGTTTTCCTAAAATACAATGATTTGAAAAGCAAAACTATGTGAGTTGTAAGAAAGAATTGTGGGTATTGTGAAAGGGTTAATGAACAAATTAGAAATGGTGATTACCCAAGAGATGGGGCGGATCCGTGTTCCTTTTGTGGGATGTCGTGGTGTTGTGGCTTGTACCTTTTGTGGTTAAGCATGAAGATATCTGCCTTGTCTCGATTAAGGATTGAGTTGAGGATTCATCTTGCCTAACTCATTTTATCGTACAACCACTCGACCTTGTATGAGGCAAGGCTTAGTCTAAATCGCCCTAGTTGGTATGGCAATCACCTGGAGGCAGGTGTGCAACGGGACACTAAGAGATGTATGTATGAAATGTAATGAGCTATGTAAATTATTGTATTACGATGATGTGGCCTTAGTCCCGTGGTGAGCGCCAGTACTTAGCTATGGAGGGTAATGGCTATGTTGGATCTGTGCTTACACGACGGTGTTAAGTTACGGTATCCTGCTGGTGGTGAAAGTGTACAACCTCTGCAGAGTGTAAAATCTATCTGTATAGCCGTGTCCACGGTCTTGGACAGGTTACTGTGTGGTTTCAACAACTAGATAGGTTGGGATGAGTGAAAACATGATTGAGTGTGATTTTGGAAATAAATGGTTGACGACCATGTGCTGTAGGAACAGAGCGTTCAACAGCACTTAAAATTGTGACAAACACTTTTTCAGAAATACTCTTATATATGGAAAATAGATATATTTTGTAAAAAGGTCTTTATAAAATGGAACCCTGCATGTGTCAAAAAGTTAGCTTTATGAAAATAAAACTAAGCCTTATCCTTGATTTATCCATATGCATATACTGTTATCCCCTTTCATAGGGTAAAGTTGGATTTGCTGAGTACTTTGTACTCACCCTTGCTTTGTTGTACAGAGGAAGACTCGGAAGCTGTGTTCAAGTGAGGTCGTGTCTACACCCAGCTTAGCCTATGGCATGGGATCGCCAGATATTAGTGTGTTGGTTTATGTGGATCTTTGGACCCATCTGTATCTTTATTTTGGCATGGTTTAAGTGCCCGCTTCCATTCGAACTACTACTTTGAGACTATCTGATGTAATGAATGTGCGTACTAGCCTCCTGGGACTAGTATTTTATCACATTTGAGTTTCTGGATAAAAGGGGACGCTTCAAGTGGTATCAGAGCCGTAGTTGGCTGTAGGACGTGACCTTAGGCTTTCTGACCAGTATTTTACATATAAAAGTATTTTACAAAAAGTTCTTACCCTCTCCCCTCTGATTAAAAAATATATTTACTCTTATCTATTTCTCTCAGATGGCGGAAGGAGTTTGGACCAGCAGCTACTGTCTGAGTGTCGAAGGCTTTCCCAAGCTCTTATATGCTACCATGCAAAGACTTGGAATCAGGGATCGCCCAGAATATGAAGGCAAGGAGCACGAGGAGCATGAAACCGAACGGTGTGAAGTCACCGTCTATATCGGAAAAAGAGAAGACTTCCCTAACATAGCTGAAGCATGGAGTATGACTGCGACCGGATTTCGGTTTGCAGACACATATCAAGCTGTCGCCCGCAAAGCCTTGAGGTGCCTATGCCAGATCTACGAGAAGCCCATCGCTCGTACACCCATGAGATTCTTTCCACCCTGAGAAAAAGACCGGCCAGTTTAGAGGACCTAAGGAGCAGATACCGTTAGAAGAGCTTACAGTTAAGGAAGATCTTACAGATGAGGAATTTTTTGTAAGGATTTTGGAGACGGCAGAAAGGGTTACATGGAGCCGGATTATAAAGATGTGTAAGATTCAGTGAAATCGGTATACAAAAGATGAGGATACTTGGGAAAGAGAACAGGATCTGAGGAAAACATACTCGCAGCTTTTTGAGTAAGCATCGTCCAAATCTCAAGGATGAGATTCATTTTAAGGGGGTAGAATTGTAACACCCTAAAAATTTTATGATTTTGAAATAAGAGAATTTGATTTATTATGCATTTTTGTGGGCATTTAAAGTTAGAAAAATAATAACTTTGTTAAAATTAAAATCAAATATAGGTCTACATACATATATGTGCATACATGCTGCTGCATATTTTATTTGTGATGCTTGGGTTTGGTTAAAATTTGCAAAAGAATTGAATTTGAGTTTAAATTGGAGTTGAAAAGGTGTTTAAGAAAATAGAAAAGAGTTTTATTTCCCCTCTCCCTCTATTCGGCCTGCTGGCCCAAGGCGCAGCCTGCCTTCTCTTCTCCCTCACTCCCCCGCATGGGCCTGCTGCTCCTGGCCCAGTGCTCTCCCTCTTCCTCTCTCGGCCCAGCTTTGCTCGTGGCCCGCTCGGCAGCGCGCCCGTGCCGTTCCTCTCTCCCGCTGACGCTGACAGACGGACCCCACTGGTCAGTTGTCTTCTTCTTCCTCCCCGCGCGAGACCAGGCCGGTCACGACCGCCATCACCGCCGAGTCTGCCTCCTCTACGCCGAGTCCTAGCGTGACCCGCACACCGAAGCCGCCCATAAATAGTGGCCCTTGCGCACACCGCCTCCTCCTAATCCTAGAGCAAGCCTCCTCGCCTCGTCCCGAGCTCGTAGCGCTGTCGCTAGCCCTAGCCGCCGTCACCGAGATCAATCCGCTGAAGCCGCGCGTCGCTTCCATCCGCTTCGCGCCTTGGTAAGTTACCTAGACGAGCTCGCCTCGCTCTCCTCTAGCTCCCGGTGTCCTTGGTTTGCTATTTCATGGTCCGTAGACCGTATTCCATGAGCGCCGCCCGTCTCCGGCCATGGCGCCGCCGTCGGGGCTCGCCGCCGACCTCGCCGACGTTTTTGTTTTCCCTTTCGATCTAATCTGCTCCGTCCGATTGTGATCTGACGGTGGAAATCAACCCGTACCCCTTCACCCGGTTATTTTGCAAAAGAGTCCCTAAAGATTTCTAGTATATAACCCGCCATCCCTGCAATTTTGTTAAAGAGCCCCTGTATTTCTTTGTTTTCATGCCCGCAGTCCCTGGTTCGGTTTAAAATCCAATTTTATTAATTTAAATTCTAAAATCAAGTTTCATCTATTTACAATTTTGCCAATAATCTTGTTTTAGCCATAAAATCTTCGTTTTAACTCCGATTTGAGCCGTTCAAGTTGCGTTAGGTTCGTAATTGAGTAATCTACATGTTCATACTATTGTTAAGTATGTTTTCAACTTTTAAAATTTGAGGTTAGATTTAATCTATTATTTTATTAAAGAAAATCTTGTTTAATTCATAACTTCTTCGTTTTAGCTCCGATTTTCATAATCTTCGCGTCTGTGTGTTCGTAGCAAGACGTAGATTCGTTTTATAAACTTTTCATCTTAATTTTATGGTGTTGGTGTACTGTCCTAATCTATAGCTTTTGTTTGCTATGCATGATTGCTTCTGGATGCTTATATGTTGCTGTGATTATCGAGTATAGACGGTGAGCAATTCATGGGTGATCAAGAGTACTACTTTGATGAGCAGGAACAATAGGAGCACTTTTTTCAAGGCAAGTATAGCATGGGATCATCCTTGTTTCCTATCAACTTTAATACATTTAATTCATATTTGCATGTGTCACCTTGATAGGGATTCCCTAGAATTGAACTTATACATTGTCTCCTATGGGATATGCATTGGGTAGCTTTGCTAGTGCTCAATTAAACCATGATCTTATAACTTGACTAATGGTATATGCAATAAACATTAAAATATAACTTTTTAGCAACTTGGAAACAGGGGGCTGGAGTGTTTAGCTACTTTCTAAATGCTTCAGATTTCTCTCCCTAAGGACTTATCTGCAAGTGATCATCCGGGACTTACAGTATAGCTATGAGGGCTATATGGCTCTAGCTTTAGCTCAGTATTAGGACCTTTTCTAGCTTGTTAGAGGTTACCATTATTGGCATAAGAATGGCTTGCTGAATTGGGTATAGGACAACCTCCACTCTTATGTGTATAGACGTGATGGAATTGTGCCATTCAACAGGGGGGTTCCTATATCTATTTGCCGAGTGAATCTAATGACCCTAACTTGTTAGACGAACCTTTGAAAGGCTTCATGGTGAACCCTGCCTGCTCACCTTGGAAGTGTTTTGGGAGTAATTAACCTGGGCATATAGGTATCATGACTCACAATGAAAGTGTATAATCTCTGTAGAGTGTAAAACTAGTATATCAGCCATGCTCACGGTCACGAGTGGCCTTAGAACCCTTATGGAATAGATGATCACTAAGAATTATCCATTTATGCTATTTATTATTCTTGTTTACATTGATCATGTGTTTTACTTTGGGATTGAAACAACTTGTTGCTACTCTTATGCTAAAATTGTGACAACTAAAAGTTGAATGTTGTTAAACCTGTGTCAAGCCTTTTGAGCCTCATGAACCCCATGTTACACTTGTTGAGTACGACACATACTTACGCTTGTTTGTTTTCATTATTTGGATAAAAATCCCGGATGGGTAACAGATGGCTATGGTAATGACGACTTTCCTGAGGATTACTAGACTTGTGGTCAACCAGTTGTCGTCCCTGTGATATAGAGCTTCCGCAAGAGATTTTTCTTTATACTTCCGCTACATTTATGTGAAGACTCTGTCTTATTATTCGTGATGTAATAAACACTTGTGATGATACTATTCATAATTTATTGGCTTATGTGCGCGACTGATCTCTGGGCGCACATAAGATTTTGCATCCCATTTTATCCTTAAAATCGGGTGTGACAACCTGTGCCATGGGATCGCCAGATATTAGAGTGTTGGTTTGTGTGG